TTTAATGGGTCCATTTTATTTTTATTTATTACTAATTTAATATTCTAATCTTATCAGTTAATGGTTAATGTTTGGATAACAAGCTGTGGTTTTTCGGTCAGGAAAATGAACCAAAAGGAGCATCCTACTTTATAATAAACAGCGTTGGTAATGTGTACATAATACATACATATTTAAAGTGAATAATGTAGCTACATAAAAGTAATTTTTTTACTTTTCACAGAACCGTGAGAAATAAATTCAGGAATTGCGAAATATAAACTGGCAATTCTGAGAAGAAAATTCAGAATTGTGAGATATAAACTCGGAATTGTGAGAAAAAAAGTCAGAATTTTTAAATAAAAACGGTATTACCATTTAAAAAAATGTTATTCCGTAGTGGAAACGGGATTCCATAGCTCGTCTTGAGTGTTTTGCAGGCTCTCATGCATGACACTGCATTTTAAAGTGCCCCTATTATGCTATTTGAAATGTTAATAATTTGGTTTTGGGAATCCCCAACAACAGGTTTACATGCATGCAAGGTCCAAAAAAAAAAAAACCTTTCATTTTCTTATAATATGCATTTAAATTTACCTTATTTCTCAACGACTCTTAAACGGTTATCATTATATGCAGTTATATCATTATATGCAGTTATCAGGTATATGTTACCATTAGTTTCATATAAAACAAACAAAACAGTTTGTTTTAGTACATCCTCATGTAGTGTGTGTGAAGCACAGTCACAGTGAACTGAGGGCGTTTAGAAACTCAGACAGGATGAGCAAGAGAGCGATGCAGAGGAGAAAAGAGGCAGAGAGGAGAGGAGGTTAGTGGAGGACAGTGTGTGTGTGTGTGTGTGTGTGTGTGTGTGTGTGTGTGTGTTGCTGACAGAGCTCAAAGAGACTCCAAACACCACAGAAGAATCCAGAACGCCCTCAACTGCCCGAGAGACGCGGATTAGCTCTTCCTGATTATCTGCTCTGTCACAATCCCGTCATCCCTCACTTTCTCAAACCACAAACACAACGGCATGATCATTTGAACCGCATGCAAGAAAACAAGAGAGCACACATATGAGACAGTCGTGTTGATATGTAGGTCAACAAGCACCATTGCGAGTGCGATATTGCTGAACAATTCAATAAAGATGAAGTTAAACTGAGTAAATTAGATTTTTGACACAATATTGCCCGTTACTTTGTGTATTTTCACTCCACCAGTCGTAGTAGTTACAAACAAATCCACAACAGCACTAACTGAAGAACAGAATGGCGTTCTCAATGATTTACTGTTTTTGAGCAAATCGGTTCATCAGTTCTAGTTGTGTTTGAACGATTCGGTCGCATGAATGATTCAGTGACTCGCTTGTTTTGTTCTTGAATGAATTAGTGTTTTTGAAAGAATCGGTTCAGTAAATGATTTACACATATCAGTTGAGAGAACAATTCAGTGACTTACACTACACTACTTGTGAGCAGAAGAGAATTCTTTAAAAAACATTAAAAATCTGTTCAAAAACCTTTGACTGGTAGTGTATTTGTTTTCATTAGTGTATTTGATGGATGCTTTTGAAAGAATCGGTTGAATGAATGCTTCGATGACCTACTCACTTTTTTTTGTTCCTGAATGAATCAATGTTTTTGAACAAATCAGTTGAATGAATCACAACTACAGTCATTTCACAGTCATTCCTCTATAGTCGTAATTATGTAACTTACAGAAATAGTAAATTTTAAAAAATCAAATTTTATGGTAAATTCATAAGCTAATTAATAATAGATACATATTAATTAATAAATATGTATGTATATTTATATACACATGGTATCTATTATATAAAGGCATGGCATCAATGTGAATAAAACTGACTAATGAATATTAATTATGAGATGTATATTAATTGTGCAGTGTTTTCAGTGTTTTGGGGGAATGTTACATTATTGCTCAAAACAAAAAACACAACTAATTATGTAACATTGTTACCTTAGATGGCAAATAAACGCAAGTTGTTTGTTTTGTTTGATATGTCATTACTGCTCTTTTGTTGTTGTGGCTGTGAGGGCGAGTCTCTCTGCTGTCAGAGGGCAGTTTCACACAGCGACAGTCTTAGCAAAAACTACATATTAGGGCCACTGCAGCTCCACTCAGAGCATCTGTTTTCACTCTCTCCTTCTTCACAAGAGGAGGAAAGGGGATCTTGTCTTTGTGATGAATTGCGGTGGGAATTACTGCGGTAAAAAACACTCGTCTCTTTCATCCGTTGTTCTCTCCTCTCGGCACGTCAGCTCTAATTGGGGCGGTGACGGAGGCTAGTCGCCGTCCACTGCCCAGTTTCCTATCCAGCGTTTCACTGACAAAGGACATATCTGCAGCTGCAAGCCATCCTGGCTGAAAATGCACCGTCTGTCCCCGAAGACTTTGATACCTGTCCTGCAGCCATATTGGCCCAATCGCAGCTGTACATCCCAGCTGGCTTTCATCGCCGCCCGGCGGTCATTTTGGCTCAGACATGACGAAGTACTTCCTAAAATGCTGGAAAAACAGCTCACGTTCATGTTGGCTCAGCTGGTGCCGTTTATTTGCAGAGGAGCACAGATGAAACCGCTTTGGCCCACGGCATTACGATTTGTCTCATTTTTGCACTAAAAACAAACACTCACTCAGTGTTTCTGAGTGAGCTTCCTCTTCCTCAGGTCAGACCCTTCACACTAGACCAGAGTCTGTTCGGTTGTTGTGAAAGCTGTTGGATTTGGTTTGCATGACATGCAATTCATCTACGAGACAATAATGCATTTTTCATTGCTTTCTCTTGCCATCTGAGCTTGTTAGTTTTTGGTGCTAAAACAGTTGTGACAATAAACATCAAAAGTAAAGCACTTAGTCTTTACTACGGCAAACTGGTTTGAATCAAGGAATCAAAGTGTGAAAACTGCAGACGAGACAGAATTGTGTGTATGTGAACTAGCAGAGCGAGTCTTTACTGTTAAAGTCGACGTGAAATCCTTCTATGGTGCACGCTATTCCAGAGGAAATGTTTGAATATTTCATCAATATAATAATGGCTTTCCTTTTCAGCTGACGTCACCAACTGCCTGTCAAATGGAGACACATCACAAGTTGTGTTTGTGATCATTAGTTAATGCACTGTGAACTAACATGAACGACTGTATTTTTATTAACTAACATTAACAAAGATTAATGTATAGGTTAATATACTGTATGTATTGTTGATTGCTCGATCCTGTTAGTTAATACATTGACTAATGTTAACAAATTACACCTTATTGTAAAGAGTTACCATAACTTCAATATTATAAAAAGTTTGTCTACAAATCAGTTAATTTTAACCTTAATAATGTAGTACCAACTGACTCTCATGTATATTTTACAGCATTAGTTTAAAGATTTTTTTTTCCTTGAGAAAATTTGGCATGTGTACCTGATATATGTACAAAATAACTGAAATCGAATCGAATCGCAAGATTGTGAAGCAGAATCGAACCGTGAAATGTGTGTCAAAACCCAGCCCTAGTAAGTATCTGCTATACTGTTATAAAGATCTCATTGATTTACATTACAATCAGAATTTCATACTTTTTGTCCATTTAAATACCAGCACCTGGCGTAAATTGCATATTTGTGCTCAGTTTGGGCCTCTAAATAAAAAACTGAGCTGTTTTTCCTCCATATTCTCATTATACCAGACTATATAAGCCACAAAAGCCTGATGGATCAAATATGATACTCTACAAAAAACACATTCAAACTTCTAGAATTAAACTCTTCCTTTTGGAAAAATTTGATTTTTCTGGCTATTATTTACTATGTCAGGCATCATTCAGTCACCGCACACTCTCAATGTGAAGCCTCTTCAGTAATGAATGAGATGCTGTTAGAGCCGTCAGGATGGGCAGAAAACTCAAGGTCCGTTCGCTCACTGACTCCAGCCGTTTGCCTCCCCGTGGCTTAATTAGATGAAGCACCAGAGGCCACTCCGGCTCCTCGGCTCAGCGTGCCAGTGCAGATTCAGCCACGCAGGCTGTCAGACGCTACGGCTGCCCGCTGGACACGAGGGGGTCAGACGACTCGGACAGGCTCGTTTTAATTCAAATCCCACTTATTCTCTCTCTCTCTGAGGCATGTGGGTCAAGTGTCTAATCACAGAGACGCAGAGCCACTTCAGGTGGGACTGTGAACTCTGACCCCTGGGGGTTAAAGCTCACCTCCCTCACCTCTCTAGCAGTGTGGCCCAATTACTGTCAGACTCTCTGTTGCTGTGGCAACCAGGACAGAAACCACAAGAGTTGAAGAATTATGCAGCCATATGAAACACAGGAGAGAGACTGTGAGGGCACAGGGGTCACAGGGTCAAAGGTCAAGCTATCATCTTCTTATGAATTTGGAATCTGGCTTTTTAACGGTCTGTTTATTTTCTATATATGTGCTATAATATTTATGATAACTAATCATATTTATTGCACATATTTTTAATTATTGGTCAGTTGCAATCATTCCATTCTTTTTTTTTTTTGAAAGAAGTTAGAACTTTTATTCATCAAGGACACATTAAATTGATCCTAAGTGACAGAATGTTAATTTCTAATGTTATAAAAGATTTCTATTTCAAACAAATGCTGTTCTTTTGAACTTTCTATTCATCAGAGAATCCTGGAAAATGAAATTAATCACGGTTTCCACAAAAATATGAAGCAGCACAACCGTTTTCAACACTGATCATAATAAATATTCTTAAGCAGAAAATTAGCATATTACATGATTTCTGAAGGATCATGTGGCACTGAAGACTGGAGTAATGATGCTGAAAATTCAGCTTTAATCACAGGAATAAATCATATTTTAAAATATATTCAAATAGAAAGCAGTTATTTTAAATTGTAATAGGTTTTCACATTTTTATTGTATTTTATTCTATAAATTCCTACTGACACTAAACGTTTAACAGACAGACAGACAGACAGACAGACAGATAGACAGATAGATAGATGTTCACTCACCGTCAGTAGTTCTTCTCTTGGTCTGTGAGTGTGATTTAGGTTTAAGTTCTGATCGTGGGCTCGACCCACTCTCTGTAAGAAACAAATATCATCACTGTCACATACGCATAGACTCAGGGATAAATATTCTTCATGTTTCTGCAATGACAGTTACAGTCAGTCGACAGTATTTCACAGCATTGTGTGCTTTGTTAATAATATAGGATAACGGAAGTGCAATTCACACACAAAAAAAAAAAATCTATTTTTTACTTTGAAATGCCAAAAGTGAATATACATTTCTGTTCATATATATACGTTTTTCCTGAATGCGGAAGTCACGCCTGACTTTTAACCGGAAGGATGCTTTGCATTTCCGGTTTCCAGTGTTTCTAGTCAAATTAGCGTATATTCTGAGTTGATAATCTAATGTTGAACCTATTAAAATGTTTTTAAAAAGCAGATGGCTCTATAGCGCCATCACTTTACAATGATGCAATAACCGTCAAGTTTAATGAGTGTGTAGACGACACGAAGCTGCCGACGTTAGCTACATTAAAAACAGATGGGCACTATTTGAATGGGTTCCTATAGAGACGGGAACAGAAGAGCATCCAATCAGAAGTTAGAATTCGTAATGGCGGCACTCATCATTTACGCAGGAAAAAGGTCTATAGTCACACTAAGGTGAGGTGAACATGTTCCTCTAATCGAAAGAATCGAAACCAACAGTAACGCGTCGATTCCAGAATTAAGAATAGGAATAATTTCCTGCAGAAACGAACTGTCCTAAATGAGCTGCTCTGCACATTCAGTTTTCAGTTTATAGCTGTACAGTATCTTCTGACTCATTTATGTCTAGGAATGTTATTAGAAGTTTCTGAGACATATGAGAGGTTTAAATTTAAACAAAGCCTAATGGAGAACTCCAAGTCTCGTGAGCAATGAAAGAAAATCAACACGAACATCTGTTTTTACCTTGCATTTAATAATAAACTTGATTTGCAGGAGGTGTGTAAATTCGGAAAAGAATGATAATTACTGAATCGAAATACTACACCAGTGCAGGTTAGTGAAAAAAAAAACACGTTCTTGAAATACCTTGTGCAACTCCTTAGTGAATTCAGCCTGAATCTCTTTTTCAGTTTTATTTATGACACAGAAAGTTTTTGTGGAGCCTGCCACGCTCTCAGTCTTTCTCTCTGTCTGTGTCACCAGGGAATAAAACGCCAAATCAATTCACAGCCCAGTGTGTGTAAGTGTGTGTGCGCGTTGTTTATCTATTCATTGTGGGAACAATGTTTTTTTTCATCCTTTGTACATTTCTTTCATTTTTATCCTTTCCCTTCATTCATTCTGTCCATCTTTGTGAACACAGGGTCAAACAGAGAACAAATAACTGGACACTATCAGAAACACCACCAAAATAAAACCTCAAACCAATTTCCTGCATGTTTGCTCTCTGATCTTCCCCTGAGGCAATGTGTGTGTGTGTGTGTGCATCTGTGTCTTTTTAACAGTGAGACAGCTAAAATGTGAAACATTGTTTGCGTACAGCCTGAGGACAGACATATCACAAATGAGATCTCTTTAAAATCTCAATTGTCTCTACTGGAAAGCAGAGAGATTAAACAGAGGGTTTTACATACGTCTCAGATGTTTCTCTAGACCTCAGTAATCTGAGCAATCTCAAACTGTGTTTAGATTTATTAAATAACCAAAGTCTGTAATCAAGTCAAAGATCATAATACGATGTCTCAAACGTTCCTCATCAAATGATCAGTAGGAATGGGAATTGATTCCAACAAAAGTTGATTTTGAGTTGTTGGGAATCGATTCTATCAAAGGGAATCGATATCCTGTTTTAGTTCAATAGAGCTAATAATGAATTTGTCTCTTAGTCGTTTTTGATGTTCTAGTTCATTTCAATGAATAGGTTAAAAAACAGCTCTTTTACATCGTCACATACATATTTCTAACAATTCAGTGTCATGGTATGTCACACTGTAATATTCAAATAAAGCCATGTGTGTAATCGCAAATTGCTGATTATTACCTTTCATTCACTTAAGTTAATGAGTTACTATTATTTTACTATTTTAACTGGAGTTTGACAGCGATACCTAAAACAGTGGGCTTTTATCTGTGTGTCGGACACACACACTTCTGCTCCTCTTCATTTCATTCTGTCAGTCTCTCTCAGATTCGCTGTCCTGATTGATTTTGTGGTTTGTTTCCAGCATTTGCTTTGCACGCTGTTTGTTTTCAAGTGCCTCTCTTGCAAATTGATACACTGAAACAAGACAATCAATTCCACACCAAACTGACCAACCAGCTCACACACACCTACACACACACTTCCCTTCGTATCATGGTGTCAGATTCATCAGGAATTTTGTCATTTTGTCTTTTCACTCACTAGACTCAGCTATAACTGAATCTTAAGCATCTTTTGATCAATTTAAGCTTCAACTTAGACCACATAATAGGTGTTAACAGATGTCTCTCTCTCTCAAACACACACACAAAGAAACTACATAATAGTTACATAACAAAAACACAGTGTTTGAATATGAATTCCTCATTACAGCGATCACTAAAGCAAAAGCCAGACTTCACGTCAACAGATATGATGGATGTTTCCATGAAAAGCTGTCAGGATGCAGCTCTCATCTTCAGACAGACAGACTAAAGAAAATGCAGGACTGCAGCTGAGACCCGCTGAATTTATCCATTCAATCAAACCACAGACCTTTTATCAAATTCACCATCTAAACAGCATCTGCAGTCTGACCAGTCTGAGCAGAACAACAGCCAAGTTAAACAGGCCACCTGTCTGAGCACAGTTATTTATGTTTATCAGTAGTTTTGGATTCAGAATCAGACAATGTGTGTATGTTTATTTTATTTCAAGTCACTAAATAGAATATATTCCTATTTATTCTAAAAAAACGGATTTTAATTTGGGCCATACAGCGCTACAAAATATCCACTCCGTTGTTTTGTTTTCATTTTATTAAAAATTTACCACGACTTTATTTTAATTTAATTTTATTACAAAAAAAAATCTATTGAAAATATAAAATTTTGAGCTATACTAAACATCAGCATCTGTGAAGTATTCTTGCACTAAAGTCCATAACCTGGACATTTTCATGTATTTAATACAATGAATTAAATATAAGTTACATACAAATCAGTTGGCATTACAAACATTGATTATTAATATCAGCTAATGTTTCTGGAAATACTCCATATGTAAAAACTACAGAACAGAAGTTACATTAATTGATCTGGATTTAAAACATTTAAATTCTACTTCCTTAAATTCAAATATGTATTATAATATTCAAAGCACAAGGAGCATATCATGAATGCAAACTCTTCTAGCATCTCAGATCTTTTCTCTTTCTATGAATGCATCACGCTCTTTGAGAAAAAAAGCCAGATTTTCTCCTTCAACAGCATCTGACCTCTAAAGAAAGCTGAAGCACCATCTCACAAAGCAGTTAATTATCGCTACCCAATTAATTACAGCAAGAGGAATACAGTTGAAAAATCCATTCATTCAAGAACATTTCTGCATTCAGCGGCACATGCCGATGTGTGTCGACCATCACAATCAATGATTGGCCCTCAGCGACCAATCAGGACCGGCCAGATTGAGAGAAAGGCCAATCAGAACTTCTATTATTGATCATCAGCCGGCAACAAGCTCCAACACGCATTTGGCCAATTACCTGACTTTCTATTTACCATAACGAAGAAATCGAGAATGTGAGAGGGATGAAGGCAGCAGGGCTAATTAGTGCCAGCTGATTGGTCAAGAGGTTAAAGACCCCATGACCAATCAGATCTTTTTCTCTTTGACACACAATCGTTTTCAAAGTTAACTTTCTGCTACATCTGCCAATGCTAAATTAACTCAGAAAATGACCTGGACATAAGTCTCTACTGCTCACCAAGGCTGTATTTGTTTGATTATAAAAACAGTAAAATTATGAAATATTATTAACTTCAATTAACTGTTTTCTATGTGAATATATTTTGAAAGATAATTTATTCCTGTGATGCAAAGCTGAATTTTCAGCATCATTACTCCAGTCTTCAGTGTCACATGATCCTTCAGAAATCCTTCTAATATGCTGATTTTCTGCTCAAGAAACATTTCTTATTATTATCAATGTTTAACACAATTGTGCTGCTTCATATTTTTGAGGGAAAATTTTTATTCTGCAAAGATGCATTAAAAGTGACAGTAAAGATGTTTTTAAATATTACAAAAGCCAAGTGTTGAGTAGTTTTATTTGTTCACCAAAGCCAACTTTAACTTGCATTTGGAAGTTACCGGCACCGGACTGCAGCCTTTGACTTGATTCCCAGTAAAGCTCGCGATAGGAGCCGTCCTCACACAGGTCAGATCTGAATGCTGACTGAGATGAAGCACTTTGATATCGAGAATACAGTATTTCTGTGTCCAATCCTCACATGACAGAACTTCAAACTCTTTCTGTGACTTTCATTTACGTTGAGGCTTGCGGCAAACGCAATGAACCTTACAAAGATTTCCTGTGGTTCATATTTTTCCTGCCATGTCTTATGTAGATAACATCTTTGTGCTCGTGTGACGGTCCCACGTGGGATTTGCTCTGCATAGTGAATCTAGGCCAAGACGCGGGCCATACGAGAGCAGACGGTACAGCACTAATGATGAGAGGAACGGATCACTGCTGGCTGACGCTCGGGTTTCACGAGTTCTGCCGTCTCATCTCTGTTTCTGATGAAGAAATAAACATTGCAAATACATTTTTAACGGCATAATAAAATCATAATGTCATCCTCCTTCTGGCGTGTTACCTATTTTCTCTTTGTCTTTCTGCTCGTTTATGCACTTTATGGTGTTTCACATTTGGTTGAAGTGCCTCAGTGCTACTACGTATATATATACAAAAATAAAATAAAATAAATAATTACAAATAAAACAGGAAAAGCAGCATATCATATTTTAATTTAATATTTAAATAGTTATAATAATAATAATGTTCCGATAAAATAGACAGAAAAGTACTTTTTAAAAGTTAATATTTAAAAAT